TCACTCCACATCTAATTTTAATTTCTTTTGACAACTTTCGTTAAGACGTACTTTTGCTCGCTCTTTATAGTAGATATAAATTTAATATTATTCTGAGGTCGTTGTAGTCAATCTTCTTTGATTTCAGGACATTCATTAATTGTTTATGCTTTATTATAGTCAATAAAGCATGCGTATATACCTTGATTGACGTCCAGGCATCTTTGTATCAGTTTATTAAGTGAAAAAATACCTAGTTTTAGTAAATATTCAGTTTAATAATAAACACCAATAAAACGAAATACATGAAAATAGGTACGCATCCACAAATACTACGGCCACATGTTATAGAAAACGACGTCATCGAAGCAGTTAATTTGTATACCTTTGAACGCTCGTCAATACTGAAAATGACACTACCGCAGAGATAAACCGCAGAATTTGCACGGCTATAGATATTATTTTGGGCTTAATTTCCTTTTTAAATCTACAGTTATATCAATAAATACAAAAATAAAACTCTACAAAACAATAATATGCCCAGTCCTAACATATGGTTCAGAAATCTGAACTTTACTTATGTAATGAGGATAGAGCTAACCGACCCAACTATAAAAACGCTCCTTGATAGACCTATTGGTCAAAGAAGAAGAGGAAGACACAGAACAAGATTCCTAGATAACATAGACCAAGATATGAGAAATATGGAAATACGTGCTTGGCGGAGGAAGGCGATGGATAGGGACGACTGGAAAAAAATTCTTGGGGAGGCTAGAACCTACACAGGGTTGTAAAGCCAAAATGATGATGATGATATGTCGCTGTTTGGAATTTGGGAAAATGGCCATCTGATTCGTTTACCTCAACTTATATTCCACTGCACAAAAAATGAGCCACTACCAGATATGAAAACTTTGTATAACTACATACAACTAATATATTTTGATATGCACATCTGCACATGTGTACATCTGTACTTTAATATGTGTTTACCGCTAATACTGAGTTTCTGTATCCTTTATTTATAGATATGAAGTCTATTTGGTTACGAACCATTCGTTTAGGTGTATCTGGTGGTGATCTCGAAGTTAAAAACGACGCTTTGGGAGTTTGAAACTTTTTTTTGTTACTACTAGTTCCAACTAGTTACAACTAGTTGTATTGATTGAGATATGTAAATATATCTCCTCTTTTATTTCGTATTATCCATTCGACCATATCTTCCTTGATATCTTCCGGCTCTCCTTCGCAAATTCTTGTGTTTCTCTGTAAATCTTAATACTATTTCTAAAGGCCGGTTCTAAGGGATGCTAATATTCGGTCAACTTTTAAATTTAAATATGCGCTTTTTAAACATAAGTCTAGCATAATCCATAATCTTTGTTTTTGATGATACATCCTGTATATTTTTATGTTTTTAAAAGATTTTGATCTCAACAAAACCTGATCACAACAAAATATATTATGTAGGGTTTATGATGAATAATAAAAAGGTGAAATTTTTGACATGATGTATAATTTTCGTCAAGAAATTAAATAGAAAACCTTAAAAGGAGCCACAGAGGGGGTGCACTTGAAAATTGATGTCTATATTAAGCCAATTAAAAAAAAATAACAATATTTTAAACGTGATAAATTATTAATTTCAAAATTTTATGTATTTAATATCTAAATGAAGATTATACATGATTTCAAAATTTCATCTTTTATTATTCATAATAGAAGCTACATTAGTAGCTTCTATACAGGTAATATAGTTCGTGGAGATGAAGTTATTATTACGGAGCTTTTAATAACATAAAAATATACAGGGTGTTTCATTAAAAATAAAGATGATGGACTGTGCGAGACTTGCGCGAATCACCCTGTACACTTAAATTGATGTTTAAAAAGCGCACATTAGAATTTAAAACTTGACGGGTTCTAGTATTTTTTATAATTCTCTAAAATAAGAACACAAACAATTTTATCCCATAAGTGGTTTCCACACTACATAATTTTAAAATTTCACCTGTATTATTCTTAATAGAGTGATATGCATGATATATGCATGATATATACTATATCATATATACATGTATACATGATATAGTTCGTTAAGATGAGGTTGTTAAAGAGCTTTCTGTAAGGATCATCCTGTACATTTAAATCTATGTATAAAAAAATGCACATTTATATTTAAAAATTGACGAGGTCTCAGCGTGTTTTATAATTTTTTATAACGAGGACACAATTGAATTCCATAAGCGGTTTCTATCTAACTTTATAAACGGTAAAGAAATCTAAATGCGTTAAGGGTTGAAATTTTAGACTGAATATATTTTAAATGAAACATACATGGCAACAATGACGGTCTTATTTTAAGAAGTACCATTTTTTAATAGAGCAATCTTACAATTTTCTCAATATACCAGTGAAAACCAATTCGGAACACCCTGTGTTTCACATATGGAATTCATAAAATACAGATTCGCGGATATATAATAATCTTTCAATATAAAATTAGGCGCAGCTGTTTTATATATAAATATGTAAACAAGACATTTTTGAAATGCATTTTGCCGCATATATACCAAAGTTACAAAAGACAGCGGCATAGGAATGCAGTCAAGGAAGAAATCGATTCTCGGTCTCGCTCTTTCGAATTTTGTTTTTACGAGCTTATTCTTTGTTGTAATGACGTCAATGTGTTTTTAAATGTAAGAGTTACAGTAAGCGCCATCTATTTAATGTACGAATTAATATCGGTTTTAGATTCATAAAATCGATGGACAGAGCTTGTCCTGGAGTTTTCTGTTCTGTGTGGGAGAAATACTGATACGTCGACACGAAAAAATAAGAACAAGGAACAAATTTTATTAAAAATAAGTTGCTTATTGAGTAATTTAAACGTACAGAATATTTTTCTATATTACCATTTTAAAGCAATTTTTTTTAATTACATAATATAACTCAAAAATGTGATATCATTATCATTTTGTTTTCGGAACCTTCCCAAATTTTGGTCGCTACAGGACTATGAATCAGATTTGTTGAGAAACTGTTTAAAATTTAAATATATATTTTTTTATTATTTCAATTAACAACTAAAATCACTAGCGGAATCTAGAATTTACAAATCATTCTATCAAATATGTGCTTAATATATTATGTATTGTGTACTGCCTAAATTTGATCGCAAATGTTTTATCTTTAAGAGTTGTATAATTGCTTGTAAAATTCGCTACTTAAATTTCCTACGTTAAACCAGATTAAACTGTGCTTTAGGTGTTTTATTAATAAAGTTATTTGTCAATAAATTGGCATTGCAGGCAGCATAATTTTGCAAAAATGTTTGCACCTGTTGAATTTCAACAGAATTATCTGTGAGGAGTATACTTTGTCATACATATACTCATGCGTGTCTGTTATTTTGAGAAAAATCTTCTTTGTCAGTTGCTTCTAGTAAAATGTCGTCTTCTAACGACCATATTATTACTTTTTTTACTAATCGTCTCATCTATTTCATAATTTAAAAAAAGATCATAATGAATGATTCTTCCAATATATGCGACTTACTCTAGAGCCTTTTAATTATATTTTAGCAATAGTTGCAATGGAATTTCTCCCTCTTATCCCAAATAGGTCTTTTAAAAACGGCAGCAATAAGTGCCTCCTTTCCTTATCCATGGTACAAGCACTAAACTAGCGCATACTAAAAGCTGATATAAACTAATTTGTCATTCCAGTAAAAGCGCGAACGCTGGTTACTGGAGCAGACTTGCTGTAACTGTGTACTTTTAAATTTAAAAACATGCATTCATTTTGAAAATTTATAAGCGCGGCTAGGCGCTGATTTCCTTTAAGCGGAAATATGCTTCCACTGTGTTTGTACGCATAGATATGAAATATCTTTGTTATTTTATCTCATCCTTTTTATACTCATATAATTTGGTACTTATATGATACTACCTTTAAATATTATTCATTCTCCTTATTGTACCGTCTTCTAACGAAGGTTGGCGATCACTACTTGTTTTGACTCTCCATTAGTAATTTTTCTTGAGATATCCTTAGGGATCTTTAATGCAGTGTTTACTCTTTGCCTTCTGCATCCATATACTGTTGCCAATTCATGGTTCATCAGCCTTTGAGACCACTTTGTCAATCTCATGCCAAAAAGAGTGCTCTTTCACTTACCATCTCATTGCCCAAAGCTGTTTAATAGAGTTGCTCAGGTTACCAGGGATCACCCATGTGAAAATGATCATACTTCTTGGAGGTGAGAATAGGAATTTGGTAGGTAAGGCTAGAGGTCCTATCTGAAAGCAACGCCTTATGATGTGCATCACGCTACCCCATTTGAACCCATATTTAGCCATAAGGTTCACACTCCCTTTAAGCTAATGGTAATACCTATGGTATCAAACTGATTGAGCTCTGGTGGAAATCTTTCCATGTTATCGAGCCCTAGGTGACTTGGTACATTGGAGTATCTCCCAAAAATTTTTTTACACATCTAGATGTTGAGAGCACTACTGCTTTTTGCATGGTCTTCAGTAGTAGAGCCAGGTATCATATGAGTACTTTACATTCTCCATTGTCGCCTGTATTTCCAGATCTTTGTACTTGGCAATTTTTTCTTTGTATTTAACACTGCAGATAATTATTGTTAGGTATCGCCACATCTATTAATGTTGTCTGTCTAGTAAGTTTTTTAACTAGTGTAAGATCCAGTCTATTATGTGCCACTTGGTTGGTCTGCGAGTACAGTGCGGTCCTTGTAAAATTTATAGTTGTTGTTTTCAAGCATTCTGTCAGGGACATATTAGTAATAAGAGAGATTGTTGGTTTGGAGAAGTCCCAAAGATATTATTAACCCCAAACATTATTCATACTAGAGTTTTTATGACATTTGTATTTTATTGTACTGTATTCAAAAATTAAGCTATCACATATTTCCAAATCGAGAATATAAGTTTTATTGATCACATTTAAACTTTTCAAAAATATGTTTTATAAATCATGAGTAAAATGATTATTGGATATGGAGTAATAAAAAAATCTTAGTACTTTTTCATTTTTTACTAAACTAATTCTAAATTATTACACTTATTTGACCTCTTGATTCTTCTCTTTTATTTCCTCGGGTGGTACTAAATATTCAGGTATTTGTTGTATTTCAACCTAAAATTATAAGCAAGTTAATTAATGATGAAAAATAATAACATAACTAAATATTATGTTCTAGATCAGAATTACTTTCTAACACATAAATTCATGAGATTTATACTAAACTTTACATATATACAGAAGCATTTTGTCCTAAAAAACACCAACAAAATTAACAATCAGTGTACTGTTAAGAATTTGAGGATAGTGTGTAATAATGTTCATAATATAATTAATAATAATAAGTTAAAGAATAAACAAATCTTACCTTGGTAGCTTTTAGGGCAACCCCTTCAGGCAAATTCCTCTCTATATATTCCAAAACGGTGTCTGCTGTTGAACCTGTTAGATGTTTAAATTGGACAAATGAGTAATATGTTCTATGTTCATATTGCACTCTGTGTTTCTTATAAATATGTACAGATTTTAAAACTGTATACCTTTCATGATTGGGTTTTCGTAGTGTCCACCTTAAAATATACATTCTGTCACTCTATCCATAATTCAGATAGAACATATCAATACTTACGACTTGGTGTTGATATCTAAGTGGTTTCCTGTAGTTACTGCAAACTTAGAAAAGCTTTTCAAAACAGCAGGATCATTGCCTCGAAGTTCTAACTCTACAAATTTATATAATTTATCAGGTTCATTTGCAGAAACTTCTTTACCTGCAGAGGAAACAGCAGAGAAAGTCCGACACAAGCTAGATGTTATATGGTTTTTTGATAAAAGTTGCCGTAAAGAATTCTAAAAAATAAAAGAGTAATAAACAATGCACATATTATATTATAAATTTTATAAATATACCATGTTAAATTTTAAACATTTAAAACTTAACCCCAATTTCTTCTGTTTAGTAATTATGCATTTAAATCTCATATGTAATTTTTGAACTACTTTTTTTTTTAGTTTTAACGGTAGGTTTTTTGTAACTCTTTTTTGGTCTCGTTTGTTAAGCAGCATAGTAGTTCTTCTTCAATATTGAACGCACTGTTGATGATACAACTGATAGCTGTCATCAAATGTGATAAAGATATAGACCACCAGCAATGTCATTAAATGACAGTTAAACGAGCAAATAGGAAGCTTATTGTCGAATTTTTACGGAATATAAATAAATGCTGCTGCAAATGTCAAAATGTTTAGCAATTATTTACCGTGGTATATTTTTACTCTTTCGTTATTGGAATTAATAATTAAAACTCATCCCACACTGCATGACAGCAGTCATGGTAAGATTTTTTCCAAATTGTGTCCTTAAATGACATTAGCAATATTAGCATGATCTCAAATTATATATTTTTCTTCCAGGCTTTATCAGCAAAAATCCGAGATATTTCGATGAAGAATTTTCGCATTTACATGAGGTAAGAAATATACCTTTAATACAAACTCTATTTTCATAAACTGTTACAATGTATTATGTGATGCTGATTATCTGCACAACACAGCTGAAGAAAATATTTCGCTGTTAAGTTTATTCAAATTGTTATTATTATTTTGCTTTGGATATGCAAAAAAGTTTTGTTGGAAATGGTTTAAAAGATATTTACGTGTGTGTTTCTTAAACAAAAGTACGTAGATTATAAAAAATAAATAATTAATAATATCATTAGTGATAACATATTTTAACAGTTGAATTTTGTATGAAAATCTTTTTATAAATAATTAAATACATTTAAATGCTAAATTTATATTCACCAAATATAGCAATCGTTGATAGTGTTAATTTAATGGTAAACCTGAAATTTTAATTTAAAAAAAGAACTACCTATTGATGATTTTTTTATTAATTTAAATATCTTGTTTACTAAATATCTAGTTTTTGACACTAGTTCCAACAACTTTATAGTAGAATATAAAAATAGAATTATTTTTACAGTATAAGTTGTGTTTTTATTAATGAATGTTTATTTTTAGTAGTTTTAATTGCTTTTGCCATAAAATTGTTTACAGTGCTTATCAGATTGCATTCCAATTTAATCTTTGCATAATATTTTACATAATTATTATATTGGTTTTTAAATATTGTCCTATTCAACAACTGTTCCTTGTTGCAAATCAGATCTTATTAAATATTTTGCTGGGAATTAATTAGGGATTGCTGTGGTCCACTTCAATATTATTTGTTTCTATTGGGATTTTGACTGTTGCAGTTTGCAGTTAGAGTATTTCTACATACCTGATTTTTATTTAAAAACAATATGACCATGGAATTCCAGTCTTAACTCTTTGTGGAATTTTAAAGTATCTAGATTCAGTATTAAAGACTTTTTCTCTCCTACAAATGTATAGTAATAATAACAATGTCTTCCATTTGTTCCATCTGAACTCTATTTTATTTTAGGCAATGTTATGGTATATAAATATTTTTTCTAGCATTTTAGGTCTATTACCAAATGTTTTTCCTTCAGTTAATTTTCTGTATCACATTGATACTTTAAAATATAGTTAGTTTGTTTGAGCAATCATATTTTATTAAATGGAATTCTAATTTTTTACTTCCATTCTCCTGGATATTGTATAGGAAATCCTCCCTACAAGTATTCTTATTACCCTACATAACTTGAGAAGACTCTTCACTAATTATTTTAAAATCCCTCTTTATGTTGTGAAATATTGCCCAAAAATGATAATGAGAAATATTTTATGAGATATATTAGTTTTAAAATTAATCAACAATGAGAATATTAGTTTATATACTATTTAACATGGGAATAAATGTATATAAATTGCACAAAAATGTTTTCTTCCAGGAATTTGGTTTACCAAGAACTTCCAAGTTAAGTGATGTTCCATTGAAGTTTCATATGAAATTTGAACCAACATTTCTTGATTTTAAGAAAAGGTGAGTCTTTTAATTTGCCATTCCTCCATACTTTATTACACCAAGTATTGTTTTAGACCCTTTGGTATACCCCATATGGAAAAAGTTACTTTATTTAATATTGATAAGAACAAAAGCATAGATATGACATCTATATCAGGAAGTACAGTGCATTTCCATAGTTCTTTCTTCGCAGATAGGGTAAGTGATATAGTTATGTTACACAATTAAAAATTACCATTTTATTACTACATTTAAATTAAAAAGGATAATAAACATTATTACATATATATTAAACAATTATTTATAACTATTATATTATTATCAGTGTCTTTGGGTTGTGTTTAACTCTGAAATGTGTTATAAGCATTTTCAATAATGCATTAGTATATATTTCCTTCTTCCTTGCTTTGTTTTTATGATTTGATATATGCCTTTATTGAATGAAATATCCTTAGACACATATATAAGGGGGTAAAGGGAAATGTCATATGGAGCAGAAGATATAACTTTGAACTATACACAGCATACAATGAACCTGAGATCGTAACATCCATAAAGATCCGATGTCTGCACTAGATGGGCCATGTTGAACGGATGTTGGAGACTGAAACGCCAAAACATATAATGAGGCAAACACTAGTAGGGAAAAGGACAAAGGGAAGACCCAAACTTAGAAACATGGAACAAGTGGAACAAGATCTGAAAACACTTAAGATTACCATTTGGAAAAATAAAGCAAAGAACAAAACAAAATGGGGGAAAATCCTAGAACAAGCCAGGACCCAGAAAGTGTTGTTGAGATACTGATGGTGATGATGATGATATGCCTTTATTTATTTTTTTATTTGTTTCTGAATTTTCTGTATTTGAGCATTTATTTCCCAATAATTTTCTTTAGATCTTGATTGATATGGTTTTCACATAGTGTTTTGCATTTCCTTCAATTTTTTTAATGTATTTTGATTCACAAGAAGATAATGTGGACTGTTCATATCAGTAATATCCTATCATAGATTGTGACATTAGTTTAAATTTTTGGGACACAGATGGTAGAGAAATCAATATAATAGATATAAACACTTCTATTAATAGGATATTTTATATAGTATAACTGAGCCAATAATATAATATAAACTCCTTCTATCACAAGGCATGTCAAATGCTTTCAGCATTAGTACAATGCATATACATTTGTTAATGTTGTGCTCAATTTGTGGTACATTTGAGTTTCGTGATTTGTCCATTTTCAGTTAATCAATGAACAAAATACCTTGTGTGAGTAAGCTGTGATGTAAGCTCGGACAGCTTTCAGAGTAATGTTTTATTCATTATCATATATCAATGCAAAAACTGTACACCAATGCAGGCCTCACTACATTCTTGTATATCTTTTATTTCAGCTCTTCACTGATTTTTTGATTGCTCCCCCTCCCTTACATTCGTGAAGGGCCTTGATACAAACCAACCGTCACTAGAAAATTTCAGTCAATCCAACACATGGATTTAGTTTGGTGTACACACACTTATACATATCCTTCACGAGCCTTATGTACTTCCCAGGAACCCATTTCTCTCTCATATATCTTCATAGCTCTAGTCTCGGAACCATTTCATACGCCTTCTCAAGATCAATGTTATTTTTGTTGCTCTTTTTCTCTATCAACATGTTCAAAGCAAACAAGCAATCCATTACTCTCCTTCCTGGAATAAACCTAAATTGTTCTCCTATCAATGTTTCTCTCTCCCTCCTCTTCTTAACCTTCCCTCTACAGTTCTATCCCAAATTTTCATTTTGCTCTACATTAATCCCTACACAGTTGTTAGTCCTGAATGTTCCCTTTTATCTTTATACAGTTATACCATTACACTCTCCCTCCATGCATTGGGCATCTTTTCTTCTTCAAATATCCTACTCATCATTTTCCATAGCACATAACCTTCTCCTAGATCTTTCAGGTCTATTTGTCAGGTTACGGCCTTACCATTCAACATTGGATTCATAACACTCTTCCATTCTTACTCTTAATCTGCCGCAGATCACTCAATTCCTTTAACTTGTCCCTTCTTTAGCAATGCTGTATAATCTTTTCATTCCCTCAGCTGTTAACAACTTTCATACAGCTTTGCAAATGAAATTTTTAACAGCTACAGCATGCTTTGCTCTCCTTTTTGCCTCTTTGTTCTTCTTAGGGTGCCTGTCTGTTCCGAATGTTGGTAATCATTCTGGCTATAATGACTTTGTGAGTTACTATATGAAATAACTATGTTGACGTCTTTCTATACCATGCTCTCAGGTTAGCAAGCCAGGATATTCTTCTTCGCCCTGGAGCTCTTTTTCCTGTAATTTTACCTTGCAAAATGCATTGAAGTAGCTCGTATCTGCATTTATTTCTTATTATATGTCCTACGTACTGCAGCTTACTGCCCTTTACGATGTTGACCAAATCCATAGATGTGTTCATCCTCCACAGTACTTCTTCATTGGTGACTTTGTTTGTCTGTTTAAGATCCTTCTGTAGCTCAAAAGCCAAAAGTTTTTATAGAGTTTCTGCCTTCAATGTCCACGTTTCCACTCCATACAGAAGCACTGAGTACACATAACATTTAAGGAGCCTTAGTTTTGTTTCTAAGGTGAGGTCATGGCACTTGAACACAGAGCTCATAGTCAAGAATGCACTTTTTGTCTTTCTGATGCGACATTTAATCTCTTCGTTATTGTCCCACGACTCATTGATTATAGTTCCCAAATAGTTGTATTGTGAGACACACACGTCCAATTCTCATTTGGTTCACATACAGATTTGCTCCAGTTATGTTTTCCTTGATCATTAGCTTGGTTTTGCTGGTGTTTATATCCAGTCCATATTTTCTTCTTGTTTCCGTTATTTTGTTCATTAAGTTTTGCAGCTCTTCTATGGTATTGGAAAACACTATTATATCATCTGCATTTATTGAGATGCCTTTATCAATATCTTTTAGAGTCTCTTTAAAAATGTACTTGAGGCAGTACAGATTAATTATCAGTGCTAAAATTATGCACCCCTGTTTCACTCCCCTTAAGATTTAGACCTGATATTTTCCATCTATATCGAAAGCCTTCTTGTAGTCAATCAGGCATGCAAAAACATTACAGCTGACATCTCTACATTTCTGAAACAATATCTGCACGCTAAATAAAGCTTCCCTAGTACTAACGGCATTCACAAATCTAAACTAATTGGGCGCAATTTGCTCCTCGCATTTCCGGTAATTTTTTTTGTGGATGACTTTTAAAAACAGCTTCAGCAGATGACTCATTAGGCTTATGGTCCTACAATCTTCATAAACTTTTGCTCCTAGTGTTTTGGGCAATGGTACGAACTCCGTTTTGAGCCACTCTACTGGTATTTTTCCTGCCTTGTATATTTTATTAAATATTTCAGTTATTATTTTTATTTGTTGTGCATTTAATAGCTTCAACAGTTCTGCAGGAATTTCTTCAAGTCCCGGTGCCTTTCTGTCCTTCATTTGTCTGACTGTTGCCGTTATTTCTTCTGGTAGGATTTTCTTCAATGGCGGGCTCTTGTATCGTTCCAAGGACATGGAAAAGTTTCTCCAAGTATTCTTCCCATACTTTCTTTTTATCTTCTTTGGTTATAGCAAGATTGCCTTCATCATCTGTTATTTTTCTGAGTTGTGTTTTCGGAACTTTCCAGCTATTTCCTTCACCTTTCTATGAACATTGAAGTTGTCATATTATTGACTCTGATACTCCTCTATTTCTTGACATTGTTCTGTTTTTTGTTTCTCTTTGGCTTCTCTTATTTTTATTCTCTCGATGGTATGTATTCTTTTATATTCTTGGAGATTTTCATTGTTTTTTTTTCTTTTATCCATAAGTTCAAGTATTTCATCGGTCATCCACGATTTCCGTTTCTCTGTATCTTTCTTCAGGTGTTGTTCTTTTATTTCTCTCACTGTTTCTTGTATAATGGTCAGACTTTCCTCTATAGTTCCCGCATTTTTGCCTTTTAGCACCTTTGTATTGAGGTTTTCACTCACCTTCAGTCGAACATTGGGATCTTTTAGTTTTCTAACATCATACTTCTTCATCGACTTACCTGTAATCTTCTTCATTCTGACTTTGAAATTACCTACAACTGGTAGTATGATCAGAATTTATGTCTGCCCCCGGGTATGTTTTGATAGATGTACAACCGTTCCTATACCTCTTATTTACTAGCATGTAATCAATCTGATTTCTTACTGCTACTTTGTATATATCCTTATCTTTTCTAATACAACCCTTTTCATACTAGTGCGCACTATGATGCGCATCGCTAAATCCCTAAAATCGCTACAATACGCGTGTATAAAAATCAGGATTTTTCAGGTCAGGCAAGTTAGATTACTGTAGAGTCAGAGTGCTATCAGAGGGAAAGGGATGGTCTGGGCATTGGAGCGCGGTGGAGTGATTCCTGATTTAAACATGAATTAATACACCTCGCTTCAATGAATTGTTACACCCAGGCTGGGTTTAATCAAATTGCTTGCTTGCTAGAGTCACCTGCACCCTGGGAGTCCTCCTGCTAGGGCTCTGCTCCTTTCTTCAACTTTAAAACTCTGTTGCTGTTTACCTTAACTACATATCAGTGTTTTATTTGTTATGTAAGAAATATCTAGTCTTTATCAAGGCTAGCTACACCAAACCTTCGAAAATTCCATAGCCAAAATGGACTTATCTGAGGATATTGTACCTGCAACAGTTAAAGATCTCTGCAGAGCGAGAGAGGAAATAAAGGCGATTCGACAATACCGTCCTGCGCCTTTTTCCCTCATCATCATCATCAATCAGCCAATCGCGTCCACTGCTGGACATAGGCCTCCATCAGTTCTTTCCAGTGTTCTCTACACTGGGCCGCTTGTAGCCAGTTTCCCGCTACACGCTTAATGTCATCGGTCCATCTAGTCGGTGGTCGTCCTCGGCTTCTTTTATAATTTCTGGGCCTCCATTCCATAATACGTCTTGTCCACCGTCCATCTTGTGTTCTGGCTAAGTGCCCTGCCCAGTTCCACTTAAGCGTCGTGGTTCTTTCGATGACGTCTTGAACTCCTGATCTTCGCCTGATTTGTTGTTTTGTTATGTGGTCTCGAAGGCTCACGTTCAGCATTGCACGTTCCATGGCTCGTTGTGTAACTCTAAGTTTATTCGCAGATTT